AGAAACTTTTTGATAGCGTTTGGGGAAACGCTATGTAAAACCACAGTCCTACTATAGCGGGTTCTGACACAGCGTTGATTAAAATGCTATGAAATAATACCATAGCGTTTTTCGACTCCTACTATAGCGGGTTCTGACACAGCGTTGATTAAAATGCTATGAAATAATACCATAGCGTTTTTCGACCGCTATGGTAGATTTCAGGTGTTGTAGTGTGATTAAAATGCTATGAAATAATACCATAGCGTTTTTCGACCGCTATGGTAGATTTCAGGTGTTGTAGTGAAAGGATCTTCTGATGGGGACATTCAGTATAAAGTCAGATTAGTTGCCAAGGGGTATGCCCAGCTTGAGGGCATAGATTATAACGAGATATTCTCACCGGTCATGAAACATTCGTCTATAAGAATACTATTAGCATTGGTGGCACAACTGAATTTGGATTTGGTCCAGATGAATGTGAAAATAACCTTTCTATATAGAGATTTACAAGAGAAGATCTATATGTCACAACTGATGGGTTTTAGAGCTGCGGGAAAGGATGATTTGGTATGTAAACTGAAAAATCTCTTTATAGACTGAAGCAATCACCATGACAATAGTACAAGAGATTTGATAGTTTTATGATTGGCTAAGGATACACGAGGAGCACATATATGACCCGTGTATTTACATGCACAAGCTACACGATGGTGAGTATATTTATTTGCTACTATATGTTGACGATATGCTCATAGCTTCCAAGAATACTTCAGCTATTAGAAAGTTGAAAAAGAAGCTGTCATTTGAATTTAAGATGAAGGATCTTAGAGAAGCAAAGAAGATATTGGGTATGGAAATTGTGAGAGGCAAGGTGAAAGGGAGGTTGAAGCTGACACAGAGGAGCTACTTGTAAAAATTACTAAAGAAATTCAGTTTTGATGGTAATGCCAAGGCGGTGAGTACTCCATTAGCTCCCCACTTTAAGCTATCAGCTAAGATGTCGCGGTGAGTACTCCATTAGCTCCCCACTTTAAGCTATCAGCTAAGATGTCACCTGTTTCAGTTGAGGACCATGAATACATGCTATCAGCTAAGATGTCACCTGTTTCAGTTGAGGACCATGAATACATGTCCAAAGTTCCATATGCCAATCCTGTGGATAGCTTGATATATGCAATGGTGTGTACAAGACTAGATTTATCATATGCCGTAAGCATGGTGTCCAGGTACATGCACAACCCTTGGAAGGATCATTGGAGGTCATAAAGTAGATTCTATAGTATATCAAAGGTACCGTGGATGTTAGTTTGGCGTTTTAGTAGAATGGGAAGAATAGGCAGGATTGTATTGGTTATGTGAATTCTGATTATGCGGGAGATCTTGAAAAGCGTCGGTCTATTACTAGATACTTGTTTATACTAGGAAGAGCTCCGGAGTGTTGGAGATCTACACTTCAGTCTACAGTGGCTCTCTCCACTACGGAGGCAGAGTATATGACATTAACTAAGCTGTGAAGGAGGCTTTGTGGTTGCAGGGGTTATTGGATGACTTGGGGATTGCACAGGAGATCGTCAAGGTAAATTGTGATAGCATGTTAGCTATCTATTTGCCAAAGAACCAGGTGTATCATGCCCGAACAAAACACATTGATGTCAAATTTTATTTTGTTCGAGACTTCTTGGATGATGGAGATGTTAGATTGGAGAAGATCTACACAAAGGACAATCCAGCAGATATATTGACCAAAGTTGTCACTGGGGTGAAATTTGGTCATTGTTTGAAGTTGTTGAACATTCTTCATTGTTGAGGGTCTTTGTAGGCCATTTGACAGAGCTACGATTAGCTTGATCTCAGTCAGAGAATACGTAAGCAGCCATGGTATAATGGTGCAGCTGGTTTTGGCCTGGTTGACGTTTGTGGTGCTCTTCTAGTTTTCATCCATAATTTAAGGTTTATCAAATGATGGATGATGTGGAGAATTGAAGAAAAAATCATACCTGGACAGGCAAGGTAGCTCACCTGGGGGCGAGGGTCAGGCGAGGAGGCTCGCCTGTGGGCGAGGTAGTTCTAGGCAGTGGTTTGAGGCGAGGATGAGATTTCCTGAAGTTTGATGTCAGATTCTACTTTGTTCGAGACGTATTTGATGATTGAGACGTTAGATTGAAGAAGATCAACACAAAATACAACCCGGTAGATATGTTGACCAAAATTGTCACTGGGGTAAAATTTGGTCATTGTTTAAAGTTGTTGAATATTCTTCATTGTTGAGGGCATTTAGAGGTCTTTTGGCAAAACTACGATTAGCTTGATCCCGGTCAAAGGGCATGTAGGCAGTCATGATATAATGGTGTAGCTAGTTTTGGCCTGGTTGACATTTGTGGTGTTCTTCTGGTGTTCGTTCGTAATTTAAGGTTTATCAAATGATAGATGAGGTGGAAAATTGAAGAAAAATCATACCTGGACAGGCGAGGTAGCTCTCCTGCTGGCGAGGGTCAGGCGAGGAGGCTCGCCTACAGGCGAGGTGGTTCGAGGCGGTGGGTCGAGGCGAGGATGAGCTCGCCTGAAGCGCTGGTTGTACAAGCGAGGAACTTGCCTGATGGCGAGGTCGAGGAGGTGAGCTCGCCTGGAGGCGAGGAGCTCGAGCTCGCCTGGAGGCGAGGAGCTCGAGCTCGCCTGTTGCTGAGGTTCGAGCTCGCCTAACGGATGATGGAGCTCGCCTGTCACCTACGGTGCTCACCTGGAGAGGAGCTCGCCTGTTTCGTATGGTGGAGGCCAGCTGGAGCTTATCCATTTCCAGCCCAAGCGAGACCTAGGGTTTCCCTATAAAAGGAAAACCCTATTCGGCGGTGAGCTTGAGCGTGAGCAGAGAGCGGAGAAATTTCCAGAGGTGGCGGAGTTTGTTCTCTCCGTGATTTTGAGCCCCATTTGTCCCGTTCCCAAAATTAAAGTGGAGGGGGTTGGTGAACTTAAAGAAGGGGGTTTTGGAGTAATTAAGAGAGAGAGAGTTTGAGCGGTGATTTTAGATTAAAATCACCTGCTATTTGATTGAGAGATCTCAAGTTTGAGATATTCTCTCTTATTTTTAATTTCTTGTGATTAATAAGAAATTATTTGTGCCACTCCCGTGGACGTAAGCAAATTTGCTGAATCACGTAAAATTTGTTGTCTTGCATTTGTGATACTTGTTTTGGTTGTTGTTAGTGTTCCAACCTCATTTGTAGTTGTGTGCCTCTGGTTCCGCTACACACAATAGTATGGATTCTTGAGAAGAGAGAAGTCGTGGTGCTCCCCCCTCCCCCCGGCCCGCGGATGGCCCGGTTCCCACGAGTGAATAGAAAGTTTGATCTACATTGAATCGGACCCTCGATAGTTATCAAAACTATACCTATAAGATATAGGAAAGAAACAGTTTAAGGGGGAAATTAGTCTTTCTTGAAGTTATGGAAGTTTCTGAATGGAGCATTTGGCTGTGGAGAGATGTTATATAAGCTCTTTGATAGGCTTCATCGTTAACCAAATGAGTCAAAACTGCAAAACTGGTTGATGAGATTTGCATTCAACAATATTTAACATAGATAACTCGAATGCTAACTAACATCTCATTCGTATACGTAGAATCTCATCCTGGTCATTAACTTTTTCTTGCTTCAAACGCATTATTATTATTGTTTATTTATTTGAGAGAAACTATGAGGCCTGTGCCCCTCGAGGTTTCGTTAAAAGATAATAACGAAAGATAACTATTTGAAAGATAGAGGCATATTGATGATCCACATATAAAAGAAAAGAAAAAAATGGCTGGAAAACATGATACGTATAAAGCCCTCATAATCCCTCGTTAGCTTGAATGAAACATAGGCATATCCAACACTCCCCTCACTACCACATAATTGATCTATTACAGCGGTTAAGTTGCAACAGTTTTAATTATTGCGTTAGATATCTATCGTAACGGTTTGCAATGTCTAATACAACAATTTATAGAAAACGTTGCCATAGGTCTAATAATTATTCCTGGGCTTAATAATTGTTTTTAAAGCCCATGGCCCTAACCGTTTAAACGAAATCTCTCTTTCTCAAATCCTCACGGAAATCCCTAGCCAAAAATTTTCTGCTCCCTAAAATCATCGTGGCATCGTCGATCTCATCACCGAACTCGTCGCCGTTTTCATCTTGGATCTCATCTCCAATCTCCTCTCCGATATTATCTTCGTCGTCGAGCTACTCTCGTGGTTTCATCGCCATTTTCAGTCCTCGCATTTTCTCCTTCCTTTGTATTCTAGGGTTTGCTCTAGAAATCAAGCCCAGATCTTGCTAACGGGAGCTTTCTAGGGTTTACTCTACCTATCTCTTCTCACGATATTTGACTCTTCTAACGATATCTGATCAAATCAGGAGGTTCGATCTTTCGTACTTGAGATCGAAAGACCCCTTGATTTCAGGTAACGATATCTGATCAAATCAGGAGGTTCGATCTTTCGTACTTGAGATCGAAAGACCCCTTGATTTCAGGTATTTTTTCATCTAAGGAGTTGATCCGTGTGTCTTTCGTACTTGAGATCGAAAGACCCCTTGATTTCAGGTATTTTTTCATCTAAGGAGTTGATCCGTGTGGGGATCCATTTAGCCTATTAGGTATTGGATCTTAACCATTCTTATTGTAATTAGTCTTCGTTCTTCTACTATATATCTGATCTGCAAGTAAACTGGTATACTGGTTCAACAATATTATCTTCTTAATTAGATAATCATTCTGTTATGAAAAACAAACTTTAGAATTACAGTAACTGTAACATTGGATGGGGCTCATATTTTCATACAACATTCCACTAGGTTATCTTCACTCTGACCACATAAGAGAATTGAAATGTTATTTCTTTGCAGGACTCTTGCACTGTAGATAATGAAAATTAGGAGTAAAAAATTGCTATCTTCCGACAATTGTAATTTTTTGGTTAATAGGAGACATGATTAATGCATTTTCCCCTTTTAGCTTGTTTATTTTAAAGAAATCTCCCTGTTAGATTGTAAAATAACACCATTCCACAAAAGCCAATAATACATGTACTTGTACTTTTTAGCTAGTAACAAAGTTCTATGTTGTTTTTATGTCTTAAAATTAGGCGTTTGAAATGTTTCCGATTCCAGGTATATGATTCCCTGGAACATCGATTAGTTGTTGCTGAGGCAGCTCAAAGGTTGAGGCTTCATCTTTCTAAAGATGGGGAAATTCATGAGGAGGAGATTAAGAAGTGCAGTTTGATGTCAAGAAGTTCTCTTGACAGCACAACAACTAGCATTACTCCCTGCTTTAGCTCAAACTCAACAAGTTACAACAATAGCTATGCAAGTAATAGTAGTATGCTAAATGCCTCTCTGCTTTAGCTCAAACTCAACAAGTTACAACAATAGCTATGCAAGTAATAGTAGTATGCTAAATGCCTCTGTTTTGTCAAATAATTCTGAAATGGTTGATCCTGGAGTCGGTGGAGTTCCAAATTGTTTTCTTGGGGTGACGCTAGGTTTTTTGAGGCAAGTCCAGCAAGAGCGGTCTGCAGTGACTGTGGTATGCCTTACTTTTGAAAAGCTAGATATTGATGTTTATTATCATAAAAAAGATTAAAATAAATGTAAATAAATAAACGCTGACAAACACCCACGTCCATTGTGTGGCTCTAATTATCTAGTAGTATTGTGGAAACTTTTAACATTGTATCAAGAAAACAATCTAGGCGTTCCAATTGCTTCTCTAAGATATATTTCCATGATTATAGGACATGATGGAGTACCAAAGGTCTCTTGTGCAGGAGATCGAATCCCGTTTAGAAGCAAAATGTGAAACATTAGCTCATATCTTCGCCATAGATGAAAACGATATGTTAGTATTCTTATTTATCAATACATGAGATATATTTACAGTTAATAACCCTTCATTATCACATTTTTTATATACTCATTCTGTGTGTTGTGTTGCCATTTCAAGTGCTCGGCTTCCAGAAAGGTGAACTCTTATCTATCTCTTATATTTATTTCCTTTCCTTTCTTTTGTATATTCCATATGAAAAATTTGCAGTTATTGCTTTTAATGCCCTTGATTAATTTCAGATATATTATCAATTTCCTTTAGTTCATTAAATATCTTTCTCTTGATCATGATACTGCCTTCTGCTTCTTGTTTCTTCTACAGTGTTTTTATTCAATACTGCCTTCTGCTTCTTGTTTCTTCTACAGTGTTTTTATTCAATACTGCCTTCTGCTTCTTGTTTCTTCTACAGTGTTTTTATTCAATAAAATCACCTCTTGTTATGATAACGATCATTTTGTTTTCAAGGATATGAAAAAAGTGTGTACATGCATCAAAATTTGCTCAAAGCAAAATACTTTGTTCGATAGACAAATAATATCCTTATGTCTGTATTTCCTTTCTCGAAATAGGTTGCAGTAAGTCCAAATAGCTGTTTGTTTCTATTTGTTTGCTGAGAGCTAGCTGACTAGGAGGTAATAATTATCAATCCAACATGCTTGTACCACTGACAGATGAGGTACACAGGAAATGATTCTTAGCCATGTCAAGTTCCCAAAGGAGAGATGAAAATGAACCATATTAGGAGAGAGACTTATGTAAGAATTCTGAAATATCTTTAATGGGTCTTCTGAACTTTCACACAAATGGAGATCACAAAAGTGAAACCAAGGGATATATGATTGTCAAATCCAGATCTGATTTGGAATTGTTCCTTCTTTTAAATCCACTTACTGAACTCAAATTTTAAAATGCAAGACGATATTATATTTGATGGCCTTCTCTGGCGAAGTTGTTCTTCCTTGCCACATCTAAACAGGCTCCAATTTTAATTAGCTATAAACATAAATTTGATATTAGTCTACGTCTCATTGTAGATTATGATGGGGCCTGGGTAGTGTTTCATCACCAGTATTTCTACTAAATGAGGCTTTTATCAACCCTTCTCTCCCTAATTTTGAACCTTTCCCAAGTTTGTTGTGGGGAAATGGCTTCATACCACAATATGGATTCTATCTAGCATTGTACTTATCACTGTTCCTCCAAAAAAAATTACAGGCTTTGTGTATTACCAAATTGTGCACATTTGTCATGTGGATATATGATGCACCAATGTTTCATAAAGCATCAGTGCTAGACCCTGTGCGCAGGCGCCTTGGCCTATGAAGTTTTTTGGAGGCGGTGGTGGCTCTGGCCTAAAAACTCATGTGCCATTTTTTTATTGCTTGAAAAACTGGAAACATGCAAAGAGAAGTAGTTTTGGCAATTTTGAGAAAACTGTTCATATGTAAGAGGATCATTGAACACTACTTACATTGATTTGAAATTTTGAACTAAGAAAAAAGCTTAATAAAGAACGTGAATCAGGAAGATAAAAATCTAGAGTACATTTAACGAAAGTGCTAAATAACTTTTTTTGTATATTTTTCAAGCTACACATTATGATCGTATATGTGTACTTGTTTCTTGCATTTGTATAGACCCTCACCCTCCAAATTAGCTTCCAAAGGAATTTTCAATTATAACTTACATGGTATACATACGAATGTACATATGTATGAATCTACGTATATATGTTTCTCACGTATCTGCTATTTTATGTCACTTAATGTATACTGCTTTATTCTTCTGCGTTGTAACTATGATTTGGCTCGTATTCACGTCTATTGATTTTTTTTTTTTAATATAAATGAATGAGTAGTTTATTTTGATAATAGCGGGTGCATGGGGCCCTAAAGAAAAGTGGTGGTGGAAAAGGTGTTGAATCTCTGACTTGTTCCACCTATTACATGAAAATGTTCGATGTATTTAATTGTTTTCAATCATTTAGGTGTTTGAGGAAGTTGGATTATGGGCTGCCTCTGCACTTTAGTTACTTTTTTGCCAAATTATATGGAGTATCAACCAGCAAATTTTGAATACCTAAGTTAATAGAGAGCTATTTCCATATCTCTATAGCTATGAAATTGTCTGATCTTCCATATTGCTGATGGATTTATGTCAATTGTCTTCTTGCGCTATTACATGAAAATGTTCGATGTATTTAATTGTTTTCAATCATTTAGGTGTTTGAGGAAGTTGGATTATAGGCTGCCTCTGCACTTTAGTTACTTTTTTGACAAATTATATGGAGTATCAACCAGCAAATTTTGAATACCTAAGTTAATAGAGAGCTATTTCCATATCTCTATAGCTATGAAATTGTCTGATCTTCCATATTGCTGATGGATTTATGTCAATTGTCTTCTTGCGGTCAGGGTAAAGTTTATTATTGAGGAAGTTGAAAGGGAAGAGGCTGTTCTATTGGAAGATCTCTATTCCATGGACAGGAAATTTGTAGAACACTACAATGTATGTGAGAAGTGTCTTATTTTAATATTTATTCTGTTTATGAACAACTCTCATTTATCTCGATGCATAATTTGGTATATCGGGATGTATAACTCTTATATTTGTTGGTGCTGAATCTGATTTGTATTTATTCTTTTAAACTTCAACTAAAACAGGTTTTGGAGCAAATACTTGGAGTTCTCATTAAGTTTGTAAAGGATCTGAAGTTACAACATCAGCATCAATATGTATGGTTGTGAACTTGGTTTTTTCTTTGAAATTTTACATGTTATTAAAATAATTCCAGCTCTCTCATGCATGCAGGGGATTTTTTTTTTTTTTGCTATTTTGATTACTCTTATTTATTTTTGTAACTTTATTTTATCCTGTTAAATAGAATGAACTAAAGAAAACTTGGCTTTGCAAGAGCTACCAGACAAAGAATGCCAAACTGAGGTTTGTCTCTAAATCTTAATCATTTGATTATGGGAGGATGGTTCTTTTAGGCCTTAGTTGTCAAGGGTTTAAGAGAAGCGTTAAGGGAGTTTAGTCCCTCCTTAACCCTCCAAATGGTTTAATTTGGTCAAAGGGGTAAAAATTCTTAGCAAGGGTCAAAAGTAGTTAACACCTCATGTAGAGAGGTTAACAAATCTGCCTGAGGAGGCAGGTTAATATTCATTCCCTTGGCGGTAAGGAATAAAATTTTGAGAAATCATATTGTAGTAACTAATTTAGGATATTCATGGCAACTAACCTTTATAACCCTTATTTGTTTACCAAAGACAAAAAAAAACTTCTCTCATCTTGACTATCACATCCCTTAACGCCTTGCCAAACTGCCCTTAGCTAATTCTTTTTTCCCCCTTTTTTTTGGTAAATGAAAAGCTATATTCTTTTAGCCGTATGGAAGAATTATGTACATCAGAACTCTTATATAGAGTAAGCTACAAACTTTAGAAAAAAAAAAAAGAAACACAACATTAGAAAGAAAAACCCCTGTCTATCTAAATTCAGAAGAAGAGCAGAACCTGGGGAGCCGTCTGAATTTATAAAGAAAGTATCCAATCCTTATTCTCTGTAGGTATATTACTGTTAAGAATGATTGTCATCAAATCCATCTTAATGATTTTAATAAGTTGTTCTATCATTCTGGATTTCTGAGTAAAAATCCTCACATTTCCTTCCAACCAAATGTTGTATATAGAGGAGGAAAGGGCCATTCTTTTCACTCCTTGCTTGAATTCCTTATCCCGCAAACTGGAACTGTACCAGTTTATTAACTGGAACTGTTTTTTTCCCTTGTCCCCTTGTCGTAACTTGAAGAATCTTTGTTGTCGATAAAGGCTTGGTGAATATCATATAATAGACATGAATAATCAATAGCATTAGTGCATATGCATGTGTGACATAGGTGTCAAAGGTCTGGGGCTATCAGCCATAGGAAACCATGTGATGCTCTCATGGCAATGATATTGTCATAATCACCATGAAAATACTGTTGATGTGTCCAATAAATGTTCTAAGATCCAAATGCTCATGGACACACCAGGAACCTAGAATTTGAAAGACGAGATTAACACTAGAAAGCACGATTTCTTGCATCGTATGACTTTTCTTGTGATTTGGCTTTTAAAATGTGTGTCTAACGACTAAATCATGTAAGCGCATCCTACAGAATTGTCTACTAACAAATGTTATGACTTTCAACAAACCTAGTTAATGATGTTATGACTTCCAACCTTTCTAGTTTGTTACAAACATGATATTTGATACGTTCACTACCACATATTTGCTATAACGCAATGGTTTATAACTGTCGCATTAGCATCTAAACCGTTGCAGTTGCTCAAGCGCAGCGGTTATCAAACTGTCTTCATTGTTGCCGTTGTCCTAGACATAAGGCAGCGGTTGCAAAACCTAACGCAACGGTTTCTAAAACAAGGCTAACGCAACGTTTTTCACAAAATGTAACGTTTTTTGTAGCGGTTTACTGATGCCTAATGCAGCGGTTCCATACACAAAGGCAACAGTTACTACAAATGCAACAGGGTTCGACGATAGTTTCTTGATACCTAATGACGCGGTTTCGTACACAAGGGCAGCGGTTTTTCCAAAATCAGGGACCAAAGGCAACAGTTGTTTTGTAGCTAATGCGATGTTTTGCTTTGCTATGGCAACAGTTTTATAAGGCTACAACAACAGTTTTATAAGGATATATCAGCATTTTTCAAGAAATTTGACCAATAAGCAAACACAATTACGTAAACCAAAATAAAAATGGAATAAGAACACACTACATTAAGATATCATCAAAATGAAAAATAATGAAGCATTCATATGTTTTAAGCCCATCATTCAAAAATAAGTAGTTACAAGACAACTTCAACCCATCAAAATATGATCAATTCACAACCATCAAAATATGATCAATTCACATGTACAAGTCTGTTCCAAAAGATTCATGTATCAAAGCTATCTTGACAGCATTCTCCTATTTAAGTCTTTAAATCCCCTTCAAAAAATAAAGAAACGTATCAAATATCATGTTAGCAACAAACTGAAAAGGTAATTTTTTTAAACTAACCATTACAAGGAAAAAAAAGCAATATCGGACCTACTGAAATGTCTATATATACTAATAACTTACTGCCAGCTCCTCCCACAAGCTCTTGGGCTTCTCTTGGGAACTAATGCCTGCTTCCCATTTATCAAATTCAGCTTGTAAATCACGAAAGAAATCCGCTGCAACAAAAACATTAAAGTCGTTACGGAAATGGCCCCTCTACTATGAAATGTACCAAACAGCTTAATCTAGGGGAATATCCATGTAACCAACACGAGACAGTCTACCTATAGTTATTGAACTTTTCTGAAAGACACACAGAAAGATTTGGTTATTTTCTAGTGGGACCACGCATAAGAATTTAGAAGGCATAAGTAAGTAATCCCATCATATTTTAAAATACCCAAGATAGTAGGGAAGCTGAGGGCGTAAAAGATCAAACGACTCCCCCTTTTTCCTGCAGGTTGAACTTGCATTACCACCAGATTCCTTCGACAAGGGGGAACACGACGATGAACGTGCAAACGTAACTTACGTCGGGTACCATCCATCGGATACCAGATTCCTTCGACAGGGGAGAGCATAAGTAATCCAGAGTAGCTGCTATGCAAAACATCCAGAGTAGCTGCTATGCAAGTGAATATAATGTCCACCGGCGGAAGTTTTCACTTGCATCAACAACCATCAAGCATTAGAATTTAGAAGGCATAAGTAATCCCATGAGTTGATATTCTTTCCCAGGCTGTGGCTACCTATGCGCATGCTAAAATTTTACAGGATGTATCAGAAGATTAAAATTCCTTAAGAAATGTTATGCTCCTTCTACCAATCCTAATTCAATGTTTCAATATCATGAATTATAAAGAGGCGTACGAGCCTCTTCTCATAATGTTCCTACTAATTTCTGTGGCCTGTGAAGCCCTTGCTAGGTTTATGATGTAACACTGATATTATTGTTTACTTTATCGATTGGGCTATGATACTAAGGGGAAAAATTACGTTGCGTTCATTTAAATTAATGAAAATCAGAGATGACAGCAAACAATTTTGATAACAAACCATAAATCCTCTGATATAAAGCCATAAAAGTATTATATATCTAAAAAATTCAGGTCGATGAAATACCTGTGTATGTGTTCCCTGCCATTCAGTATCATACGAATGGATTGCCTCGTGAACATCAATGGACTCATTTACCTGAATCATTCATAATAATTTGTTAATAAGATTTTGAGGGGTTTCTTTAGGGATGGCAGACATCAAGTTTATTTCTTCTTCATTCATGTTTTATGAACTTTTCTTTCAGTTGATTGTGGTGCTTATTTTGCACACTTCTTCCAATTTTGGCAAAGCACCATGCTAGCTTATCTTTGACTGCATATTCATGTTTATTTGGAGCCTAATTAATGGCGTTGTCTGGTTTAGTTGCGACTAGTGATTATGCAGATTGGACCCCGACGCGATCAAAGATAACTGCAGTCTTGTATGCTGTAAGTTATTCATATTTGGTTTCTATCTTTACATTTTTATGGTGCGGTGTTTCAAAAGCTAAGATAGATTATCCACTATGGTTAATTGTTCCATCTCTTCTTCTTGATTTTGAATTTCTTTTTCATAAATCATTGTGTGACCTAGTTGAGAGCTATCACGAATTATATGGTGCAAAAGGGTAAAATTATTGATAAATATAGTAGAAAATGAATAGTAAAGAGGGAGAATTGTTCATAATTTAGCATAGCTAAAGGAGAGGAAACGGTTTTCTATTGTGGCTGTCACATCAATAGTTTTTGGAACCAGTTATTACAAATTTGGGCTTCCATGTTAAAGTAAATTACCATACATTTTCATGATCCGTTGCATTCCTTCACTGCAATGTGAGTGGTCTCTCTCTGTTAGGGAGAATTAAATCAGACATATATATAATTTTGTCATTGATTGTTTTATCCACAACCTACATATACCTGGATATTCAGAATTTGTCATATCAGTGTATCTAGTCCATTTGTGCTTGTCACAATTCAATAAGACTCTAAAAATCATCACAGGATGGACATGTGATTCTTCTGATTCCCCTTGTCTTTCATGATGTGTAATAAATTATTTGACAAAATAAATTATGTTGACATTTTATATTACTCACTTTCTTATAAGTTTATGAAGCTCATAGCTTGGATATGAATATTGTTGTTTCTTATAAGTTTATGAAGCTCATAGCTTGGATATGAATATTGTTGCAGATATTGTATTCTTCTAACTTCTTAAGCTAAAATTTTGGATGTTGTTTCAGATATTGTATTCTTCTAACTTCTTAAGCTAAAATTTTGGATGTTGTTTGACATTGGATATATATGAATAACTTTATTAAAATACATTCAATATGAGGGCATAATATGTATAAATCATTCTCAGACTATATTATATAAATTTCTGAAACTAGAGAGTAATCGTTTTGACAAATCAATTAGTAGTTTGGAAGATGTAAACAGAGTACAACATCATATTTTGGAATTGATCACATAATTTATATTTTCTTTCTTGATTGAATTTGTACATTCTATTTAGAAAATTCTAAAACAAAGTTTTGAATATCAATAATACTCGGTCGTCGGATAAACAACAATGGAAGTAAACCACATGTGGAAGTGATTTTTTTTATAACTGAACAAAATCCTTGATGACTAGATAAACCTACAATTTTCTTTGATGAATTCAAGAATTTATTTTTTCATTAATATTAATAATTTTTTTAGTATCGGTCCCTTACATCATTAATATTTCAAAATTATACATTAAAATTACTAATTAATATTAAATTATTAATATATTAAGACTTTAAGTGTAACTATTTCTCTGGAAGATAAAATGTTAAAACCACATATGGAAATATCCAAAAAAAATTTAATATATTATGATAATTATAAAGTTTTTTAACCATGTTATAATAAATAAATAAACTTAAAGTAAAAAATTGAATTATTTACCCACGTGCAGTGCACGTGCATTCCACCTAGTATATAATAACGGGGCAACAAACACAAGCTAACATGATGGGGTTTGAGAACATTAAAAATTAAAAAAAAGTTGAAAAGGTACAGAGATGCTTTAGATGCTTTTCTTTGGAATTGAGAAGGAAAAAAGAGTTCGATAGCTGTCACCTAGGCAAAAAGGGAAATATAGTCTATTGGATATTAGGAGAATAGAGAAGCCTACAGGATAATAGCTCTGATACAAGTGCACGAAACAGAGAAGAGGGGAAAGTGTGACGCCCCTGGTTTCAACAAGGCTGTACTCCAAGGTGAAACCAAGAATGTTAAACATGCCATGTACTACACCGTGCAATAACACGTTTCACCATCAGGATTACTATCTCTCAAGTAGAGTTAATAATAGGTGTAGGTACTAAACAGGCACAAGAAAGTTCACAGAAGAAACGCTGAATGATAGATATGCTCTGAAGAAATAAGTACCAATGAAATAAATAGACAAATCTCTGAGAGGAAAAATATCTAAAATGGATACAAGTGTCTCAACATAGGAAGTTTAATGAAATAACATTTAGGCACATCACCTTTACAAAGCTAGAAATAATAATATCTCAAATGTTCATAAATACATCTATTGTGGAAATCTGACATAAACTGCTAATAATAAATATAAATAGTTGCTAGAGCAACTCCATCAAGCTACGGCTCTCCGCGTACTTGGCTCGTTACCTGA